TGATCCTAACAGCAGACTAACTTGAGTAGTCTGTCTAGTTAGTCTGTTTAAGGCTATATAATGTGCCATTTGTATAACGTCTGTGCACGCCACTGCAAATGGAGGTAGAAATTGTCCTATTGTCTATTGTCCTCCCTGCCTTGACTAGGAGCTGTTGTAGCTACAGTCTGATAGCCAGTTACTCAGTTACTCAGTTATTTCAATATAATACACAGTTATAGTTATGACACTTAAACTATATCAATGCAACACCGTCCAGTGACTGACTGATTATTAATATGTAAATCATGTCTTTCCTTTTGTAAAAAAAGAAAAACCTCTGATCCAAACCGCCTACATTCATAAAATCTAGTGAAATAACTGTATTACACCGAGGGTAAGGGGGTTAAAGTGAAGGATGTTCAAGTATAACATCATAGGGGAGGAAGACTGTCTGGAAGTTTGGAGAAATAGGCTTGTTTGGACAGAAAAGAAGTTGCCAGTACACATCTGTATAAGATTAGTTTCCATGGTAACGTCTATGCAATCACTGCCTGCGTTTGCAGCAAATTGCAGGAATTTATATACAGACAGAAAGCAATGAACTGTATTTAACTCTTTGTGTACACATTGTCCAAGTATTTACCAAACAAGATATAAATACGTTTCTTGACTGTAGATAAAGTAGACTAGTAGGATTTCTACATACAGAATAAATACCTTGGATGCCCCTAAAAATAAAACATGATAAAGTGTCCTCTACTGTGCAAGAAAATGTACCCTCTAGGATGCTCTTGTGATGCAGTGCTCACTGGGGTGCTCTTAGACAAAACACGATAAAGTGCCCTCTATAGGGGGCTCCTCCAATGTAGAAAACTTGATGCAGGTGCAGGGCCAGACTCCCCTACATGCCAGAAAATGAGTTGGCCTCTACATGCCTCTAATGTTAGAGAGTCAATAGTGCCTGGTGTGTTTTTATTACAGATTACCTCAGAGAGTCTCCTACTGAAGCTAATATGGTGTAAAATATAGTTTAGTTTTGCCATTTTTAATAAGTTTGAGCAGAAACACAATGCACTTTATACTACTTATTGGTTATATATTGTACACATTGGCTCCAGACATGTATATTTCTGCCTGTATCAAAGATTTTTATTGTGAAAGTTTATTCTTGGCCTAGAGAACAGTAGTTTGCCAGATAAATAAAAAATAAATATTTAAACAGATGGGTTTTGCTAGAGAGAGAATCATGGAGCAAACTCAATCTGCTTATAAAGATGCAGTTGAAAGCTCTGAAAAAGTTTTTTTTTTTTTTAAAAAAACAATGATGATGATGTAATTAATGAACCATCAAGTTGCTCATCAGCAACACTCAGAGGCCTACAGAGAAACCTGATCGTTGGGGCCTTCAAACTTTATTTTAATTTTAAACAATCTGTAGTTGAAGAAGCAGTACTTTAAACTTGAAACCATCCCAAAATGATACTAGAATTTCTCCATATTATCTATATTTATGTAAACCTTTGATGATGAGTTGTCTAACAAAGTGATATTATAGGATACATTGGATTTCTCATCCTTCCTCAAAACAGACTTAGAAAGTATTTCACAGTTCTGATCTGATCCATTTGTCAATCAAAGGAAATGGGACTCTGACAGAGGATGAGGGATCCTCTGGACAACACAGAACACTCATTAAAAATGAATTAAAGGATCCACCTCTAGAGTGGATCAATGTAGAGTGTTGCTGAGGAAAAAAAACATGCTCAGCAAATCCTGCAGTACTGTTTGCATGTTCTCCTTCCTGTCCCACCCATTTGTCTCTATTCCTGTGGGGGTTTCTTTCAATCCCACCCTGTCCTGTCCAACTCCTTCCTTCCTGTCTTCATCCTGTGTCCTCCCCTCTTCTCCTCCTTCACACCACTTCCTCCCTATCCTGTGCTGTGAAAATTCACAGTCATAAATGTCACTCTTGACACACACACACACACTCACACTCACACTCACACTCACACACACACTGAAGGAGTCAGAAATGTAATTCTGAAAAAGCCTTTTCAACAGCAACCAAAAGTCTTCTCTGGTTTTAGTGTCATGACAGTGGTTACTGCTAGTTTCTCTCAAAATGAAGAAGCCATTGACACCAATTTCATTTGTTTCTTCAGTCAGAGGCTTAATTTGTTAAGATAAAGATTCAACAAGCCTCGAAAGTCCTATTTTCACTCTGTAAGTATAATTACAATACAAATAAATCGACTTGAGAATGCATTACAATAATAACTTAAATGATAAGACATTAAAGGGAAACTTCGGTATTTTCCAACCTGGATCCTACTTCCCCATGTTTTTTGGCTAAGTGACTAATGGGAACAACGATTTTTGAGATGACTAGTCTAGTCTAGTATTGAGCAAGAGAGCTGCATCCAGCAGCAATGTAATCCTTCAGGGCAATTGCACACCATCAAGGTGCATTCACTAAAGCTGTTTGCCACTGACAGATTGTTATTATAAGTGTCTGATAACATTATGGAAGGATCCCTAGACCTTTATGTTAAACCAGAAAGAGCCGTTATATATCGCTCTGTTCAAAGCCACCAGACTCCATTGACAAAAACAGTAATTCTACCTTGCAGAACGTGCAAGATTCAGGTCTGCCGCTGCCTTGTTAGTTTGTTTGTGTTACTGTGTGACTTTGGACTTTGTTTGTGTCAACAAACACAAACATATTAACTGACTGAGGCGGTATTTCTATACTGAGTTGAGGACAACACAGTTCAGTTTCTGGCAGTGTAACTCTGTCTGTGGTCCTGTACTAGATTTAAAAAACATTGAAAACATTTTATGCTCTGCATTGCCACAGTTGATCCTAAATGATCCTAAAGGAGATCCATACGGTGTTTGTCTGCAACACAATCCCAGTTTCTATTGGATTACTCCAGTTAGCTGGGATAAGGGCTTATGCAGGTTTCTGACATGATGCCCTGCACTTTGTTTTTCTGGACCATGATCAGGTAGACAAATCCCACTCAAAATCTACAAGTTCTTCTCGACTATTACACCATGGCCATGGAAAAGTCTTGGTTCTGACTGGCTGAATTAATTTTTAGTAATTCGGCAATATAATTGGACCTGTACTGCAGGTGTTTGTTTGCAGTTGTAAATCAATGTTCCAGTATTAATACAGGAAAGTGGAAACAAACTGCAGGCTAATCACCTGATGCAGCCCGTGGAATGTAGTATAACTTGAGTAACACTGCCCTTTAGTTAACTATACCACCTGACGCAGTGCACCCTGCATTATGTGACCACTGACTGACTGAC